GACGAACCGGCCGAGTGGTGCCGTTCCGCCATGCCTGAGGCGTCCAGGTGGCACCGAGGCGGTGAGGGCTGCGCCCGAGGAGTGGGTGGGAGAGGGACGATTTGGCAATTTCAGATACCCCGGAAGGAACGCTGCAGCCCCAACTCCCCATTCGTGTGAACGATGTGACCGCCGGCACTTTTAGCCCTCACAACCTCCCCTAGAGAAACGGAGAGGGACAGATTCACAGACGGGAAAACTGAATCCGTAAGGGCCCGCAGTGCCGCCCTGCCCGAGGCTCCATCTGGGCGTTGTCATCTGCTGTCCAGTGACCATCCCTAGGCCGGTCTCTGAAGTCTTTTTTTGATCTGGGGAGTTGTCATCTTGACAGAACCCCAGCCCGAGCGCTTTTCCCCCCTCCAGCGGAAGCCAGCCTTCCCAAGAAGCAGTTTCGAGAGTGGAAAAAAACGATTAGGGACAGTTGAGGGGCGTTTTGTTCGTTTTGTATTTTGCTTTCTCATTTAAGACAGGACTCGTGAGGAAACATCCATGTTATAAAATCTATCAGTACAGAGTTGTAAAATGACTGCCCACTTACCCCGATGGGAGAACGTAGTAGTTATATCCCTGCCGCCTAAAAGTGAGAATTAAAAAATAACCAGGAACCACTGGAGCTTCCCTCTGCACAGTGTAACAAAAAGTGGCTGTTTTTCTATCGTTGTTACTTATATAAATTTTAAATTACACAATAAGCTAAAACTTTTGTCTTATATCTCACAGGGGCTTCGAAACATAAGCTGCATTACAGAAAGGAAGTAGAAATTAGAACCACACTTCAGGAGTTATTACTCTACTTTATTTTTTTAATAAACCTATGTATATGTAAGTACATAGATGTAGATAAAGACGCTGATTGTTTGAACTAAGGTTAAAATGTGGAGATGAAAAATAAAACATATAGACTTTAAAACCATAGGCTGTCAGACTAAAACTAAAAATATAATGACACATCTTAGACGTAATTATCTTAAATTCATTTAGATTGACACTATTTCCAATTCTTAAGGGGCAAAACTTTAGGTCACAGATGTAATGAGAAGCTCCCATAGTCAACACTGATTGTGGCCTATTACATCTTCCTTGTGAATTAAAAAAAAAAAACACTGATTGAATGTATTATAATTATTCCTTTCGTTTGGCAGTTCTATCTTGAACATAATTAATCCCTTGGGTTGGCAGTTGCAATTTGATTTCTTTTAGAGCCCTATAGATACATTAACTCAGTTTCATAAATCTAAGCATAAAGGAGGCCAAAGATAGAAGTTCGTTTGCCATTACTTTTGTTCTTTTCACTGACCTGTTGCACAGTTAATAGTAAAATATGTCTGTGCTGAGTCAATGCAAACCTTTAAGGAGGATTGGGGAAAAAATCTCAATCCCCTATCTGTAGATCTATATATTAACTTAATATGTGAAGGGCAGCATTAAAGAGCATTTTGTCTTTAGAGTGCCCAACATACAGTAGATGTAAGCTCACTGGCAGGATTTATCTCATGTTGGTATGTGCTACACACGGGCAATTGTATACCAATG